TGTCATTTTTATGAGATGTTTCTTCATTAGGCCATCTTCAAAGGTGGAGCAGCTGAAGAATTGAGAGTGGGCGGCTTTTCCTCCAGGAGCCTCAAGAACCCAACGTGATACGCAGCATCCGGTACCTTCTGTCACCCTGTGTTCCCGTGGTTCACAAACCCGTCATTCTTGGCGGGTTGTGCTGGAACGACGCAAGCTATGAAAGGTGTTTGTGGCTCTTGGAAAATGGAGCGATTGTGTACTTTTACCTGTTGTCTACAACATCATTTTGACAAGCCTGATCTCAGGCCACCTCATGCGTGTTCGCACTAAGCAACTTTAATGGGGGTCCATTCAAGGACACAAGACTTTCGATAGCAAGAATTGAGCGGAAACAATATTGGTCTTTCCGACTCAGAGAATGCCCAATAGGACCGGTTAAGACGAACTTTTCTTTCAGTTTAAAGGTCCCCAGAAATCCGAATCCGACTTCGAATACCTCTCCCCTCCAATGAGGTACCCCAGGCAATCTACATCCTTTGGAGGATATACTGGAAGACTACGGATCGATATGAACCGGAAGCTACACATTCGTAGCAAGTTGATACAAACTAGTAAACCCATCCCCCCGTGAATCAACAGTAACTTTCCTCGTTTTCTGACTACTCATGATTAACGTGACTTGCGCTCGTTTATTATGACACCGTTTTGTTTCCTTGCGGCTCATTTTCCCCATGTTACATTCCTACTTAAGATCCGCTCATTCTTCAGTACCTGATGTCAATATTTTGTTGCCCGTCCGTCCCGATTGTACCTACTTTCGAGCGTCCATTCCGACGGAAATGTGGACCGTCCGGGTACCACCAGTAGCTTAAAAGTGAAGTAGATTTGGTGACGGAGAAAGCATGGCAAGACCACATGATAGGTATTTTTGGCCAGTAAAATGTTCAGTTCTTGGGCTATAGACCGGAAAAAAATAAGCTAGTGTTTTCGCGTGCTTTCTGTTCAATCTTTCCACTACTTAATCGGTTTATAGTAGCTAAAATTATCTTGTTCATTGTACAGTGGGTTTCGAAACGGTCAAAGATGTGCTTAAATTCCT